GCATCTGCAGTTCCTACTATCCTTGACAAAGTGAAGTTATCTGTTGAATTGAGCTCATCTCCAACATTGTGCAGATTTTAAAGAGAAGTTTCAACTTTCTGCTCCATAGAACAAAGGTTTAGTTGGACACAGATAAAAATTAATACCTTAAAATGGAGTAAAACTGCTGCAACCTCATGCATCCTGGAAATTTCACCTCTTTTCTGTGCATTTGTAAATTCCTGAATCAGCTGGCATTCCAAGTCATGATATTTACCTATAAAGATTGCAAACTATATTTTACTTTGCTTGGTACTCATGATCTGCTGATTATAATGATCACATCATTAAAGAGGTAGCAAATTCTCAGATTTTAGACAGGAAAAAATGGCCAAAACATGAACGTTCCATCAATCATAACTTGATTGAGATTTGCAAACGAATTTGTTTTGAAACACTTAGGCATCTCCCCAGCTTGTCAACCTATTGTCATATTTTATCTTTTTTTTTGAGATATGCTGGCAGAACATTGGTGATCCAACTATATTTTAGAATATGCTAATTTCAAGGGTTTTTTTTTTAGTGATAGCAACAAAAATAGAGCCACAAGAACTTACTTGCAATTTTTGACTTCACTTCTGCAAACCTAGGAGAGAAAAAAAAAATTAATTTAAGGTACTTCGTAAAAGATTGAGTCATATTCTTTACTCTTGATTGAATATTCAGATGTCTGAGGAACACTGAAGAGCTATTTATGATATATGCATACATAAGCTTTAAATTACAATGAAAGATCTATGTACTCAAAAATAAGTTAAAATTTAGATCAATAACAAATCTCCTTAATTAACACATTTAAAACAAAGCATCATGATCTCACTGGTGAAGCATTTGATATTCAATGTATAATTGCACTGAACCCAAGATTCTATTATGAACGATTGTATAGGACTTTGGTTCGACCACATTTGGAATACTGTGTACAGTTCTGGTCGCCACATTACCAAAAGGATGTGGATGCTTTGGACAGGGTGCAGAGGAGGTTCACCAGGATGTTGCCTCGTATGGAGGGTGCTAGCTATGAAGAGAGGTTGAGTAGATTAGGGTTATATACATTAGAAAGATGGAGGTTGACGGGGGACCTGACTGAGGTCTACAAAATCATGAGGGGTATAGACAGGGTGGATAGCAAGAAGCTTTTTCCCCCCCAGAGTGGGGGACTCAATTACTAGGGGTCATGATTTCAAGGGGAGAGGGGAAAAGTTTAAGGGAGATATGCGTGGAAAGTTCTTTACGCAGAGGGTGGTGGGTGCCTGGAACGTGTTGCCAGCGGAGGTGGTAGAGGCGGGCACGATAGCGTCATTTAAGATGTATCTAGACAGATACATGAATGGGCAGGGAGCAGAGGGATACAGATCCTTGGAAAATAGGCGACAGGTTTAGATAGAGGATCTGGATTGGCGCAGGCTTGGAGGGCCAAAGGGCCTGTTCCTATGGTGTAATTTTCTTTGTTCTTTGATTGGCTTACCTGTCAAAGGGCAGTTCTTGAGCAATGAGGTGCAACTTCTGAATGATATCAGCTGCTTCTTTAATCTGAAGGAAAAACATAACATTCAACCATGAAGTCAGAGATATTTATGACTTTTTGAAAGAGAGAAACAGAAGAAATACAAATAGCACAATTATTAAACTATTTGTCGAATCCAATGATTCATTAATTTGTACTTGAAAAGTTGGCCAAAAGAATACAATTTTTGATTGGTCACCAAAGTATAATTGAGAGATTAAAAATAAAACCAAAAGGTTGGAAACTAAAACAATCAAAACAATGCTAGTTATTCATGCTCTTTGTTTTGTAACCTAACTGGCCAGTATAGCATTCATAAGCTGAGCATCATCAATATGTAACAATTTATAGAAACCTGGCTGGCTACATAAGGCACTGAGTTGGCCAGTGATGTTATATTATTATTCAATTTTTACACAGGAAAAAAAGCATGACAACATTTTAATTCGTAATTTTGTGACCTCAAAGTACTGATTTTTCTGTTTGAGAATTAAGAGTAATGTATAACACTGTTGGCAATTAGCATCCTTCAATACACCGTACAGTTTTATAAGTCAATTTCCTTCTGATCAAACTTTGAGTAAATAGAAACAATGAATATTTCAGGGAAGGATTAAGCAAAACATTATTCAGACAGTGATGTTGACAGAGGAATAAATTACAACAATAACCATATCATAGCACTGACTATACTTACTAAGTAATTTATTAGCTAATGGAAAATCCTGCAAAAGGCACTATAGAAATGCAAGTCTTTCATTCTATAATGGGATGGAATGCAGAACTCCTCGTAGGACTGTGTTAGAGCAAGTTTTACAGAAAGATTAAACTATTTAAGTTTGCGACAACTATACAATCTCATTGAACTTTATTCTCACGATTAAATAATGCAGTTTAAACTGCATGGTGTGAAGATCTGTGATAAATGGAGCGCTTTATTATTCTAGTTTATATTACCACTAAATGAAAGCAGAATTGTATTCAGATACTCATTAATCTCCCATGACATTGTACTGTGAGAGAAGACCAATTCCAGTATTCAGGTGAAGTTAAAAGGGAGATGGTTAACTTGATCAGCATAACGCTGAAGACTGACAGGAACGGAGTGGACAGGAGGAGCATGAGCTGGGGGGAAAATGGTATGAGGTGGGGACAGAAGATAGACAGGGTCACACAAATGATACAACCCAAGAATGGTGGGAGTGGGACATGAGGTCACGGTCCTATCCTTTAGTGATGAGGGAGAACGAGAGGAAAAACGGAAAGTAATTGAATGTGGAAAAGTTCGGAGGAAAAGCAGATATAGGGTCGGGTGGATCAGAGCCTATTTCCTTGTCAATGGGAGGAGTGTCAGATTTCTTCATTATAGCCATTAGGGATGCCAACACCTCTTGCTCAAATCAATGATAATGATGGCAACAGTCAAGGAGGGAGTAGCAGGATGCCTGCTCAGTGTAGCAATATGGGACATTAGGAAGGCTAGTGTTTGTGGGCGAAAGAGTCAGAGAATAAGGAGACAATGGGAAGAAAGCGGATGCAGGTCAAATGTGTGGGTGGAGATTGAAAGAGAGTGGGTAATTATTTCCACTCTTATGGTTTATAGGTTGGGGAGGGGAAACGATTAACAGTTAGATCTCTAGTGACAAAGGTTTCACTCCATCTCAGTTTGGGAATGAGGAATTTTTCTCCTGTATTGTGCATGTAGGCAGGAAAGGTCTACTCTTATTGAGTTTCAGCAATGAAGTAATCATTTCTTTTCAGGCAGGGAAGGAAATTTCACATTTGAAGACATTGGAAGGTGAATAATTGAACTTTGAGAGTGGAGGTGAAGAGACAAATGCAAGGATTACTGTGGCAGGGAGGGAGCAAATCTTAAACAGTCTGCATTATTTAGTTGAGCTCTTTTATGCTGTCAGGCAAATGGCATGTAGATACAATTCTGCATGCCATTTCTCCTGATTTTTTAATGTCATGTTCTCCTCTGGTATGGGCAGTCAATTGGTGCTTCAGTGATTTCCAAAGTTATTGATCTTTCAGCAGTTATTTGAGAATTGAGAAGGAATTTCTTCACCCAGAGGGTTGTTAATCTATAGAATTCCTTGCCCAGTGAAGTAGTTGACGCTACTTCAGTAAACGTTTTTAAAGGTAGATTTTTTTTGAACAATAAAGGAATTAAGGGTTACGGTGAGAACGTGGGTAAGTGGATCTGAGTCCACGAAAAGATCAGCCATGATCTTACTGTATGGCGGAGCAGGCTCGAAGGGCCAGACGGCCTACTCCTGTTCCTAGTTCTTATGTTCTTATTTCCGTTCTATTGCCAGGCATTCTTTTCCACCATTCTTAAATGAATACCAGAGAACAGCTCTTGTGGCTTCAGTCAGCAATTTCTATTGACAAAGTAAGTTGCACAAATTTAACTTCGACAATCATTGGAGGGATGAGAGTGAATGGAAAGGCGTGCTTCAGACTTCATGATATGCGCTCTTAAATATTTTACGTTAAAGGCATCAACAAGGGGATGGACATGTTAGCTGCTTTCCTATCATACTAATTTAGCCACAATATTTATATGTACAAACATGCACAGAATTATTTTATTACTAGTAGTTGTAACTGAATAAAGAACTTGAAAATTCAACTATTTACCTGAATTCTAGATTTTGCCTTCAAAAATTTAAAAACTTTTCTTGGTGTCAACTTATTCCTCACTAATGCAGTTGACACATTTTTATTAAGATTCTTTAGCCACACAATAGAATTCAACTCAAGAACAATGAAAGAGTGGTGGAAATCTCACTTCTTTATCCATGTGAATATGAATAAGCCATGAGCCAAAATTCTCAGTTTAATTAGCAAAATTGGAAAATAAAATTTAAAAAAAAACACCAACAAATACTTTATCAGCACTCTGCAGGTTACCACTTTTAATTCACATTTCTGAACAATGAAACTGTTAGACTCTTTGAGAAGTTTAGGCTCTCAGTGGTTTGAAGTCTTACCGTGGTAAGTCATGGTAGCAGCTTGTAATTAGAGAAACACTGCTTACTGCTTTGAGCCATTTTTATCCTGCTGACAGCACTTACCTTTTCTGGATTTGTGAAAACGTCTGACTTCAGTTCTCCATCCAGAAACTCATTAAAGTATTTCATCAGTTTCTGTGCCTCTACAGCCCGTTGCCTTGGCGTATTTACTCCTTCCAATTGGTCTCCAAGGTGACAAACCTTTGTTGCTACATAGCTGATATGTTCATCCAACTCTTGGAAATGCTGAAAGGCGATCTACAGGCATGAAAATGAGGCATCAAAATTAGGGTTACCAGTGTATTAGGGCATTATCCAAATATTTCACTTTGATAGAAAAGACATAAATTATTAATATTTAGGGTACAGCAGTCATGAAGAATGAAACAGTATAAAAACTTTATTCAACTCATCTTTCTAAAAGTAAATCCATCAAGCATATTATCCTTTGACCTGTCATTCTGGGTTGCAGACGTGATAATAATATTTGTTGGTGCTCAACTGATCAATGTTTCAAAAGGATAAAAAAGAAAAATCAGTCTTCATTCTAACTTTTACCACTTCACTGACACCCAGAAGTTGTACTCAAACTTAATTTCAAGTTGCTCACATACACCTACAAATCCCAACATGGCACAATGCTACTTATGTCTAATGCTACAAGCTTCACAATCTGTACCATCCACTCTTCTCTCTCTAGACTATTGTACCTCACATCATATCCTATCCCATAGTTCCAGTGATGGAACCTTCAGCTGTTGCACATCGCAAATTCTAAGCATGATCGTTGTTCAGTTAGTAGCACTGTCATCCGAGCCATGAATCCTTGTTCTTCACTGGCATTTCAGTGCATAACCTAGACTGTGGTTACTTGGCAGGGAGTGCTGCATTATTAGAAGTGCATATGGGAGGCACAATCAAGTTCTAACTTTTATGATCAGCTGAGCATTCCAGATCCTACTGTGTGATTAAGAGAACAGAGCTTCCCCTTAATCTGCATCATCACCAGAAAAATAGATCAGTAAATTATCTATTTCATTGGCTGTTCATGAAACGTGAGCAAAGTGGGTGGATTCCTCTCTCATGCAATAACAGTGACTATACTTTAAAGTGATTCATTGAATCACATCTCCTCTAAATGCCCCTTACCTATACAAAATGCAGGTGCAACGCTGAATAAGAAGTGCAAGTTTGTAAAACTCAAGATAAAATTTCTTCGGTATATGATTCAAACTACTGAAATTACTCAATCTACGACACAGAAGAACTTGCAACACTCAGTAACATCACAGAACTTCAAAGATTCCTTGGGACAGTGACTCAAGTGTGAAAGTTTCTACCAAATTTGGCAGAGACTACTGAAGCTGAGACAGGTTTTTCAACAAACGATGGTGGAATGGGAATGAGAAAGAGAAAAAAAGCTTTTCACAGAATCAAACAATTAGCAACCCCTTCAGAAACCTTAGCACACTGTGATCCATGTCTAGCGACCATACATCTTGAACAGGATTGAAATCAATACTCTTTCAAGTAATGAAAGGAGTAAAAAGTAAATCAGTTTACTATGCTCAAACTTCCAACACAGACATAACAGGGCTACAAATCGAGAAAGAAAGGCATGCATGTTTCAGATAATGGGGTGGGCTTCCAGATAAAAATTGAAACTGACCAGAAACTACAGGTCACTCCAAGTCAAAAGCAATTGCAAAGATGCTGTCCAGCAATCAGCAGTTCAAATGAAAGTTTAACTGCAGGATGTGTATGTGGAAAGTACTGAACAACAGCAGAAACACTTTCAAGGTTACCATCAAGTGGAACAGAACAAGATGATGTAGACTCTGTTGAGAAATAACTAAATACTTAACAGCCACTGAAAGGAAACTGCAACAGATATACAAAGCTTAGCATCCTGAATTGAAAATAATCAGTTCCTTCAGTTTTGTCAAGTCAAAATCCTGGAAATCCTTTCCCAGCAGAATTGCGGGTCTACCTACAGCACATGGACTACAGCTCAAGGGCAACTAGGATTTGGCAATAAATGCTGGTCCACCCAGCAACAGCTACATCACATGAATGAATTTTTAATAACAAGAATGTGAAGAAAAATACTAAATAAAAACCGAAAGAACTGCAGATGCTATAAATCAGGAACAAAAACAAAGTTGCTGGAAAAGCTCAGCAGGTCTGGCAGCCTCTGTGAAGGAGAAAACAAGAGTTAACGTTTCGGGTCCGGTGACCCTTCCTCAGAACTGATGGTTC